CATAGCTGTATATTATGTATCTCATCTATCATAGACTTAACTGGGACTGACATTTTTGTCCACCTGTCATTGAAAACGAATGATGTTGTTTAGCATTCTAGAAACAGTATTTTGCAAGCATTTTACACAAACACAAAATAATAATCCCACAGCATTGTCCCAGGACTGAATTTCGTATGTCACTTAAGTCCTGATGATGACTGTTATTTTGTATGTTTTCAGGAAAGCACACTTTTGTCCACATGCTCATAGTCAGTCCTCCCACCCAGAGCATATTTGGGGTTGACTCATTCAGGTGATAAGAATGCAAAAACCTTTGGGAATTTCTGAAGGATAATACAAATTCCCACTTTAGCTTTTGCTTTCTCTTCAAAGGTACGCCATGAGGCTGAAGAACTTTGCCAGCCCCTTGGCTTCAGATGGCGACAAAAAGCTAGCAGTGTTATGGTGAGTCCCATGGAGGCCACGAGGAAAGAGCTGAAATGTGGCCAAGGATTTGAAAACTCCAGCTCATCTTAAACTGCTTACCCCAGAGCACTATTTGTGCTTTCCATTAAACTATTAAAGGATAAGTAATGGGTTTCTTCAGTCATTGGCTAAACATGCACCCTTCTAATTTAGAACTTCTCGAGATAGGATTGTAATGCTTCCCCCTTCCCTTCTTGAGTTTCCCCACACCCCCAGGTACATATGTTCCTCAATCTATCTAATCTTAGGAAAATATGCAATACTGCAAAATATGTATCAGCATTTTTGGTATAGTTTATAGGTTTCATTAAGCACTAGCATTAACCTAATCCCTTCCTCATCGCCACAGCTACCGCTGTTTATCACTGCTCTACTTGAGAATGTTCAAACTGAAGAAGGACCATGCTATGAAGTACTCCAGATCATTGATGGAGTATTTTAAGGTAATTCTCATTTTGTGGAATTGAGAGATGGATGGGTGTATAAAATCACTAAAGAGACTTGGTAGACATGTTACAAAATGTCAATTGACCAAGTGACCAGGGGTGGGCAGGAAGGGGAAATGAGTTATTGTTTAAGAGGCACTGAGTTTCTGTTAAGAGTGATAGGGAAATTTGGAAATGGATAGTGGTGATGGTTGTACAAGTTGTTGAATGCAATTAATGTCTCTGAGTTTTAAATGTAAAAACGGTTGAAATGGCAAAGGCCTTTCACCACAATTTTTTTAAAAAAGCCAATTGTCAAAGGCAATGTTGTTGTTGCCAAAGGCTCATCGTGGCCAGCTGTGGCCCATCCACCTTTCTCCTTCAGGACTCAGCAAAGAGCTGACTGGTTTGACTCAGTTCACCAGGAGGGAGGGTGCAATAGCACTGTGCCTTCATTATTTTTGAGACTGATCAAGTGGCCTGAGGCAGCTTCCCAGGTGCATTCAGAGGACTCTGCCTTCCGTCCTGCCCTGCATGGTGGACCCCACGGGGGTTTTATGGCTATGGGTGTGGCCAGTCTCCTGTTAGCCAAGAGGCCATCCCAGGACTCTATCAGCAGCAAGAGAGCTCACCGTAACCACCATGGGACTCTGAGAGGACATTTATACCCCTGGAAGTGCTTTGGCCATGGGGAGTTTGGGGATGCAGTGGTTGCATTTTATGACAACTTATTGCCTTGGTCCCCAAAATCAATCCATCAATCAAAGAGTCAATCAGTCCATTGTCTATCAGCTGACATCTTCACGTGCAAATCAAAAAAGAAAGTTCTGCCACAAAATGCTGTGCCAAAATGTGGGAAGGAGCCCAAATAAAAATTCCAAGCCACAGCCTGGTGCTTGGCCTGGTGGCCATAGCAGGCATCACTGGCTTGAAGTTTCATAGGACTTCTGCTGCTTCTGCCCCCAACACTGCCATGACTAAGACCTGGGGAGGTGCAGTGCTCCTTCTGTTGGGCAGGTCTCAAAAGCAAGGACTTTTTCCCAAAAATATGCATGAGAACTCTTGGCTAAATTGCACGAAAGCAGTTGTTTGAAATGAATTAAATCATGACCTTCCATCAAACATCTGCACCCAGTGAACAGTGATGGTGAACAGCTGTATGGGAACACTGTGACTAATTCTGGGAAAGATCATGAGCTCCCTAGCTAGTTTGTGAGGTAGCCGTAAAGTCACAAAGTGATACTCCTGTGGCCCGAGAGGGTCAAACACAACAGCTGCCCCTCCCTTCACATGTTTGCTCTCCATTTCTGGTCTTGCAAGGTGGTTCACAAAGCCCAGGGTACCTCAGAATCCCCTGGAGGACTCATGAAAACACAGAGGACTGAGCCCCACTCCAGAGTGTCAGAGTCTGGAGGTCTGAGTGTGGGCTCGAGAATTTGCATTTCTAACAAGTCCCCAGGTGGCACTGAGAGGCTGCTGGTCTTGTGACCACACTGGAGAGCTACTGCGCCAGCCTCTGTCCTCCTCAGCCTGTCCTGCAAAATACCAAACAGGTGTGAAGTCACTCACTCATGTGGGGGGTGCTTGGAGCTGCTTTCAGGTTCCATCCTGGAGTCTGCAGAACACAGCTCTGTGGCTCTCAAGATGTCTTCCCTTCGCACTGGGCTCCTGAACACCAGGATGTGCAAGGTGGGCCGGTCCAGAAACCTAGAGCCAGGGGAAGAAGCATAGGCTGGGCCATGACTGCTGAGAGGCAGGCTCAGTGGCACAGGTGTGGCGACCCAACTGATCACTGTCCTCTCGTCCTGGGCTGGCTGTCGGCTTCCCTCTGCTCCCAAGTGTGTGGCCACAGAGCAGCACGTCCGTCAGGGGAAAGAGGAAGGGTTAGAGGCCCATTGCTGCATGGCCACAGTAGGACCGTGGTCGGCCGGAATCAGTGAGGGTCACCCATACATACACACAAGCAAACAAAAACAGCCGCTGGGGCCTGACAGAGGCCTGAGCTGTGAGAAATTTCAGGCCCTACTCCCCTATCCCAGGGAAAAGGTTGGCAACTCTAGCTAAAGGTGAAAAGCTTTCCTGGGCTCTGAAAGAGCTTGTTTTGCAGAATCAATTTCAGATGAGGATAATTAAAGCACTTCTTAGAGAACCAAGTGTGATTTCACTGGGCCTTTTTGTAGAGATCTTTCATCAAGTGACTGTCATGGTCCTGATTGGAGCCCACTCATTATCCTAAGCAGCTATTTTCCTTGAGTGTGCGTCAGGGTGTGCTGACGCACACATCCATCCCAGCGCGGCCAACGGAACGGGAGGCCGCCCGAAAGGCTGCAATCAATATTAATGTGTTCAGAATCACACTTCCATCTGTTTCTGAATTAATAAAACGCAAAATCGTTGTCCTTATTTCCCTCTCTCTCTCTCTTTTAGCAAAATGCTTCAAAAGTCGCTCAGCTACCATCTCCATGGGTAGGCAATGGAAAGTAAGTATCTTCCCAAAATTGCTTTTTCATGAAAGTGGGTGACTAAATGGAATATTTGGCATTGGCAGCTCAGGAGAGAAGATCATTTTTGTGCATGCAACATTCCAGGCAGGTTTCAGCCAATGGTAAGATAGAAAAGTTAAAAAGAAAATGAGGTGATATCGCATTCTTCAACTATTTGATCTTTAAGCCAAATTATGGCCATAAAAGATCTGTTAATGGGATGGCAAGCACCATGCCATTTGAGGGACACTGAGTGGAGTTAACCTCTACCGTAGTGGGTTTTCAATGATTCACTCAGTAATGAAAGACCAATGAAATATTCATTGATATATGGTAAGTGCTGTTTAATAAAACCTAAGGCATAATAGTTCTGAAAATGTGAAGGCACTTAGTCAGCCAATTATCTGAGCCTTCATGATGATTTTGATATTAATACTAAAATAGCCTGACCTAAAATATGAAAGCATCCACTCTGTTGCGGCCTGAGCTGGAATGGAATCAGCCTCCCACGGCCTGATTTTGAACACTGTCTTGAGGAGCTAGGTGGGACCTAGCAGCCATGGTGTAAGAGTCAGGAAGCCCAGTGACCTGGTCCTGAAGCGGTCCTTAGTGCACAAGGGTAGCACAGTGAGTGTCGTCCTCTCTCTGGGTTGGTCTCTCCGGCTCTATGGGAGAGGGTTGGAATGATGCGCTCTGAGGCCATCTGCAGAGATGTCTTTTTCTCAAGGAGGATTTGAACCCAGTTTGGTCTCCGCCCTCAAGCTCTCCATGTGGAGCTCAGATTCCTTGCCCTCCACTGACTCCAATACCACCCCACCAACCCCAGGAGGCAAGAAAGGAAGCAGGGTGACACTGAAAAAACAGCCTTTCCGAAAGGGCTGTTCTCTGACTCCAAGCTGCTGCTTCAGCTTTCCATCATTTCAAAATCCTTCCATCGCTGATCCCAACACTTTCTTCAAGAGTAAAACAGTCACCACTACCACTTTATAAACATCTCCAGAGCACACTCCCAAAGTGGTGGGACAATGGGCCCACCTTTGAGATCCTAAAAACTTTCAGAGTGAGGGAACCGAGCCATTAAAAATGACGCGTTAACTCAAGGCCTGCACTGAAAGGAAGCACCTATTAAATGGTTGAGCGGGATCCTGCTCTTCTGTTGATGAACAAAAGGGAAAGAGTGATTGGCTCAGAAAGTTCAGAAAATAAAAATAACCATTGAAAGGCCCGGAGGAGGCGAGCTCCTGGAGCAGAGTGAAGGGGGAGCAGGCCCGGGGAGCAGCTCTGAAAGGCCGGGCAGTTGCTGGCTGGCTTTTTTTTTTTTTTTTTTTTAAATTTTATTTTGATTTGGGTGAAGATTTACAGAGCAAATTCACTTTTCATACAGCAGTTCACATATACTTTGTCTCATGTCATTGACCAAAATTTACAATGCAACAGCTCCCCTCCCACTTCCTCCCCATAGCCACCTCTTCCCAGTGTCCATCCCTCCATACTCTTCTGCGCCCTGAGCTGTCTCCCTGTGCATAATTGCTTGCTTTTTTAAAATTCTGAAACAAAAGGACTCAAACACATCCTAAAGCTTGTGAGGTCACATTAAAAGCCTCCCGTACCGGTTTGGTAACAGCTTGCCCCTGATGAACGCGTACTCCCTTCGGTAGGTCAGAGAGCTTTTGAATGAGGCAACTCGAAACCGTCTCCCCGAGGTTACATCCCGCTCATTTAGGAAACACTTCCGGCGCCTCTGCTCCGTGCCAGGCCCCCTGACGAGGTGCTGGACACCCCAAGCTGAGTAAGACGCAGTCCCTGAACTCCAGCAGCACGCAGCCCAGTGCAGGTGGCAGGTACCGTGGCAGGCCCAGAGAAAGACGACTCTGTCTCCTTCCGTGGTCAGGAAAGTCTTCTGGTCTGGTCCCCACCCCCCCGGGAATGAGGTTGCTGACCCCACACGGGGCCTCCCACAGTGCCTTCCAGGAGCTGCAGCCCCTGAGCCCAAGCCCTCCGCAGCCGGCCAGGGTGATCCTCTCCATTGATGAGGCTCTGCCAGAGAGTGCGTGAGAAGGAAAGAGCAGCGGGGCCGGAGCTTCAGGAACCAGCCGCAGCCGGGGCAGGGTTAAGAAGCTGCTGCTGCTGCTGTTGTTGTTGTTGTTAGGTCCCATGGAGTCATCTCCGACTCACACTGACCCTATGTATAAAAGAACGAAACACTGCCCGGTCTTGTGCGAGCCTCACGATCCCTACTATACCTGAGCCCATCGCTGCAGCCACCATGTCAATCCATCTTAT